GAGTCTGCGAGGGTAACAAAATAAAAGTACAACAAGCTGAAGTGAAGCAATTTTCTGAACGGCCTCTGCCTGCCCGGCTATAGGCTCTCATGCTACGGGCCTAGGCCATATGGCCTCCCATCCTAGTGATAGCCCGGGCCTGCTTCTCGAACAACGCAGCCAGCGCAAGTATCTGATAAATCTCTCTCTCTCTCTCTCAGACAATACTCCCACGACTCCCAAGAGTTCGAACAAGTGGCAACAACCAATCACAATAAGATACCTACGAGGCTACGAGGCCGTGAAGATCCGAGGCTGCGAGGGTAACAAAATAAAAGTATAACAAGCTGAAGTGAAGCAATTTTCTAACCGCCTCTACCTGCCCGGCTATAGGCTCTCATGCTACGGGCCTAGGCCATATGGCCTCCCGTCCTGATGAAAGCCCGCGCCTGCTTCTCGAACAACGCAGCCAGCGCAAGTATCTGATAAATCTCTCTCTCTCTCTCTCTCTCTCTCTCTCTCTCTCTCTCTATGTCTCTCTCTCTCTCTCTCCCTCCCTCTCTCCCTGTCTCTGAGTCTCCGTCTCTTCGCAGCCAAGCGATAACCCGTGCGTCTGTTGAAGAGTGGCCTCCATTTTGCGCAGCAACCGCTGCGCCTGAGCTCGCCGATCTATAGGGGCAGGAATCATCGCCGATGGTGTGCCTTGTGCTCGCTGCCCTTGCGGCCCAAGTCGTGTCCTCGGTCTCACTCGTCGCCCTCCTCCATCATCTCCATCTGCCGCCCGTGGTTTGGGTACGTAAGCGGAGTCCCCTGCATCATCAGTGCCTGTGGTCTCTCCCGGGGCGACATCTGTGCTGTCGTCGTGGACGATAAGTACACTGCCGCGTCTCTTCTGACCTGCCACTGCATTCCCTGTGCCCTCCCTGCCGACGATATTCGCCGTCGTTGCATCCCTCCCTCCAACATCCAATGCGTCGCCGTCAGGTGCAATCTCTCCGTCCTCGAGATGCACAACGCCCGATCCTCTCTCTTGGGAACGCATATGTGAGGATGAACGTGACGCCTTCCTTGYCGAGGCCTTCTTCCTTGCCCGAGAAAGACTCGCCTTTGCGGCTCTYGTAGCATGGACATCAGACGTCTTCGTCGGCAAAGCACTCCTGTGTCGGTCCTCAAACTCTGCCATGGCGGTGTGCCGAGCACCATCCACACTCCCAATGGATCGTTTCCCCATAGACGGTGCAGATGGCCTGCCAACATTCCGGACTCCTTGCTCATCCATCCCCCCAGTACTCTTCCCGCTGGCATAGAATGCCATTGTCGGCAAAACAGTGGCTCTGTCGCGCCGTGCTGTCGCCGATGACCCAACCACAAGCTGTTCTGTCGCGTCTGCGCCACTGTTTGTGACGGGGACGCCCGCATCTGCGCCGACAGCCGCGGCAATCGGATGATGCTCCAAGTTTGACGGCGGACTTGGGGGTCTTGCTTCTCTTTGGAGTGTGTCAACTGGCCTACCAGGAGACCCTTCCTCTGCGCCGTCAAACGAATGAGAAAGACTACGTTGTGCGATGCTGCGCTGACCGTCGCGGCGGTGTCGCGTCACCGTCTCCGCCAAACCAAGGGCCACCTCGCGTAGTTTGCCAACACGAAAAATTGTGGGCGTGGCAGACACCACTGGGCTCGTAATCATATCGACGATAACGCCTCCTGCCACGTCAAACCCGTCCGATCCACGCTCVATGACAACAGGCTGTTGTGGCTTGGGCGGTGACACATGGGGTAGACCTGGGGATATCAACGTCGACAAGTCCGGTAGAGAAACGAGCGCAGAGTCCATGGTCAATAACTCGTCGGTACCCGGAAGACTGTCGGTGGGGCATGCGAGGCGGACATGGTCTGCGGTACTCTGCTCGGCTGCGGGAGTGTGTGAGATATCACGTTCCGGGAGATCGTCGCCTTGACACACAACAACGGTCCCCTGACTCCCCTCCATCAATGCAGGCGGTGGCCGCGGTTGAACA